TGAGATATCAAGTACCCCAGGTGGCACGTAGGACCGTCACTTTTCCAGAGCCATGCGTCTGAGAGTCTGAGGTAGTTAAGGGGACCTTGATAAAGAAACGCCAGCACACGAAGCAGCTCACTCTTGAACATGTGCTTTCCTTAAAGACTTCGGAACGTGTTGAATGTCACTCGCTGTGACATGAAAGACCTTTGGTCGAATCTGCACGTCCCGGGAATAACATGTTCAAGACTGCCTCTTCTTGCTGACTAACATTGCCACTTCTTCATCTTCAATCAAAATGAACTCAGCACGTTGAAGAACCTTACGGAACAGACCCATTGGCGCGCCACGTTTTGTGAGCACATCCACTATCATCTGTTTGGTGGCCATCCATCGCAGAGAAATGTTGTACGCTGCAATGTCTTCCTTCACCAGCATCATTTCGATAGCCACTCGTTTGTCCTTTACCGATATCATCGGTCCAGACACATGATCAAACACAGGTTTGCAGTCAATCACAGCTGTGATTGGTATTTTGCAGCTCCACACGTGGTCTTGCCGTAGCTCATAGTCCTGGCAGATGGCTTCACACCACATTGATCGCATCCACCGAGCTTCTGATAGTCCACGTGATAATGCCAGCAACTCTGCCCCCAATGTTGAATGTGTCTGTCTGTCTTGCTTGTAGCTGCGCCAACGTAGAACTGAAAACGTTCCCCACGAGCCATGCGGTAGACGACTGTCGCAAGCTGCTATCAAGTAGCCTGCTTGGCTGCAGCAGCCTTGTGCGTTGGCCCATGATGCATCAGACAACATAGCAAACTGTACATCTTGTATGGGAATGCTGCGGATCCACACATACGCTTGACTGTTGTCATGACACAAACTCACCAATTTATTCGTCTCGACAAGATCATTGACCGTGGCCTCACTCACTCTCTGTTGCATTAACGAACACCACGCAGCAAGATCAGGACGACTGCTAGTGACAAGCCAGTTGATGCCTCCCAACACACCACGCATCTGTCGTCTTTCATCTTCCGTGACCGGCTCACTCCTCTCTCTTCGTCGCTCTCTGCAAATGTCAATACCCTTGACCTGACGAGCATAGTCAGACTGACTGATAACAATACTACCATCAGGCTTCTGTTCCAATCTTTTGCCCAGAAACTCTCCAGCACCAGACTTCCAATGCTTGAAAGGAAACATAGACCTGAGTGGTTTAAGCACCTTCTCCTGGAAGTCCTCGTTGCCTCCTGCACATAGATCGTCCACATGCAAAGCGATGACACCTGCGATCCTTTTGTTGGAGTAGTAGTAGAAAACACAAGGATCAAACTTCGACACACGCATGCCAAGTGATTTCAACTTGTTGGAAAAGCACTGCCACCAAGCCTTAGGAGCGTCAGCCAATCCATAAATTGTTTTAATGGCTTCCACCACGCTTCCATCTGGCACACCTGGTACACCCCCGGGTGGTAAGTCGATGAAGATTCTTCCTCTCTGTGGATCAAGAGCATCACCACGCAGAAATGCACCTTCAACATCGGCAATGTTCAGCTTCCACTTCCTTGATGCCAGCAACTGCATCGCAATCGCAAAACCTTCACTTGACAACGTAGGCGCCGCGGTGTCCAACTGAAGCAAATCAGGATCAAGGTAACCACGCACACACCAGCGAGCCTTCAGGTCTTGAGTCAGAGGACTGCTTCCTCTGTCCGCTTCAGTGATCACAAAGCGAGACTTTAGCAATCGACCTCGCTCCAGACCTTGTTTGATGCGCTGAGCGGTTGCTCCTAAATGGACCTTAATGGCTCCACTGTCAACCAACTTAGTCCACTCTTTCACCTTGGCCTTGTCCAAACCGCCTCTGCGATCCTTTGGCACCTCATGATCATTCAGTTCCTTCCTGCCCTTCTTCACATTCACCTCGTGGCACTCCTTCAATGTAACTGCCTTGTCCTGCCAACCAGGCGTCAGACGGAACTCGACACGACCTGTCCAGAAACCTCCACGCACCAACAACCCATGGTCTTGTGGTTGCTTCCAGTTGCACTCCTTGAACACTTGGCTTCCCAGACGATCAAAGCCAATCAAGCAGCATTCCTCTTCAAGATCCTGAAGCCTAACTGGCAACTCGTCCTCATCAGGCACCACAACTCCTTTCCTCTCGACACTGACAACGCGCACAAGCTTGGAACGACCATGCATCACAATCCAACGATCTGCATCAGTCACTAACACTTCAAGATCATCATCTGCTTCATCGATTCCAGGAACTGGAATCTCGGCTGCACTTTGTTGACTTGGTGCTGCATGTGACGACGATGCTCTCGCACGGCCTCGATCAAGCAAGTCAGGATCCGTTCTCAACATTTGTACCAGCTGAGTGGCACCTGGCATGAACCGCGCCCTTTTGGTAGGAGATTCATCTCCTTCTGCTTGCCTTGGTGGTGTCGCCTGTTCGCTTGCATCGCGCTCGTCGTTGTTTGCGCCCGATTCAGTGTTCTCTGCTTCCATTGGTTCACTCGACTCCAACGGAACGGATCCAACACCCGTAGCTCCCATGTTCACCTCATCATCCGGTGCCGGAGTAACGACACCTTCATGTTCAGCATCGGGAGGGCGCTCCAACATGCTTAAATCATGAAAATTGCCTGCACCTTTAGCACTCACTTGACCCCTGATATGCACCATATCAGCAGGTAACAACTTAACCATTGCTTCTTGGTCAGGTGACAAGCAACGCAGCTGTTCAGGGCAACAACGATACACCTTTGTACCCTTTGCGACCCAAATCTTCGACGTTCCAGCCTTGCCGATAACAACTGCAGGGCCATGCCAGTGAGCACGATTGTCAAAGCGATTCTTGCGCCATAAAAACACAAGCTGTCCAACCTCAAAGGGACCGCGTTCAGGACGACTGTGTTCCATGGCCTTTCTGATCCTCATATCATTGTCTGCTTCAAGAAACGCCTTTCTTGCTGCAGTGCGAAACGCTACTCGGCGTTCAAAGATTGATTCACCTTGCGCAAGAGCAGAATTAATCACAGGATCCATGTCAGAACTTATCAACCCTGGCACACGCACATCTCTTCCAAAGACATGCTGATTTGGCGCATATCCATCCTTTCGAGTCATGCTGTTCACTGCATTGTTCACCTGGTCAACAAGTTCTTGCACCTCTTGCTTATTTCGGGGTCTAGTTTCGACCTGAGCCTTTGCATACGCTGTTTTCCACACGTCCCCTCGCTTTTCCACCAACCCATTTTGCCATGGCGAATAAGCCGCAGACGTGTCCCCAAACGTGCCATCCA